ATATAAGGTCAAAATTTAAGGTTCCATAAAATGCATATAAATCAAGACACTTTAAAACGCGAGATCTTAGGACGCCTGGCACCCGAGTCCTCTATAACGCAATCACGTTGCAAATAAAATAAATTAAGGTTAATGAAGAAATAACAATATTTACTTTATGCCTTAGTAAAAAAAAAAATAACAATAATTTCAATAAATGCACATTTTATGCTAAAACCCGGATAAAAAAACGCTCATCTTGCTTTTTTTTAAGAGCAGTAAAAAAATATATAAAAAATAAAGAAAGGCCACATTGACTATCCAGCATATGACCATGTGCTTTATTTCTTTATAGACACGTCCGAGATATTGTTGGGCCTAAAAATCCCATACGTAATGCCAGGCGACCAACACGTTCAGCGACGCAGGCAACAACAACAACAACAGAAATCACAAGATATTTAATCCCGTAACGCGTCTCGCAATAAAAAAATAATAATGATTAAAAAGAAAAAAAAAACAATGGTTTCTCACCGGCTTGCCAGCTCCTAAACATGTTATCACTTACTGTAGGTTTTGGCAAGCAAGTAATAGCCCTCAAAGTGCTATTCCATTTTTTAATTACAGGTTGGCGAAATAATTTGTCACACACCCCTCAACCCAAAGGCTACGACTACGCTAGAGAAGCCATAAGGCAACGGATCCTGTCCCAAGAATGCAATGAACACAGACATATACGTAAAGAGAAATGCACAGTACCCAGACACTTGGCGCTGGCCAGGCGGAGGTGACCGGTGGCAAGCATCTAGATCCAGGAAAGAGTGTGGAGGGTCGCCCGGCCAAAGCCACTTCCACCTCACCTCCTGTGCCCACTGCCAAGCCAAGTGCCATCAGGCCCCCTCCCCCCAGCACCCGCCTGAAGTAGAGGAGACACTACCACAGGTCTTGCTCCGCACAAGGTGAGGTCTGCTTGGTAGAAAAAGTTGCACGTGGATGTCATCCCCCTTGGGTGGTAGTCGGCGACTAGAGGGGGAGAGAGACGACTCTGTACTGGCCCCGAGAACATAGACACGGCACGGCCAGGACGGCCCCCACACGCACACACACAGGCACACACACACACACACTGAATGACTGACACACACTCACACACACTCACTGTGCGAGGAAATCATTTAATACATTGTACTGGGGATAGCTGACACACAGGCACTCTGTACTGCAAATAAGAAGCATGCACACCAGGATGCAGCTAACCAGCTAACATACGGCGTGCTGTACAAAGCAGCCAATGCACCGTGCAACCGTCCAGCTATCACACACACCGCACAACTGAACTGATCCTGTACTCTACAGCCAGCATGCCTCTACAACAATGCAATAGCTCTGCATGCTCACACACTACAACCGCTGGCCAGCTCACAAAGCTACACTGCTCCTAGTTACTGCCTCAGGCAGGCAATGTGTAGCAGGGAGCAGACCCAATGCAGACTGTACTGCCTCTCCTATTAACCCCTTGCTGCGCTCCAAAACTCAACGCCTCTGTCCTAAGATCAACCAAGTGACATGCATACCACACTAGCACTATCTAGTTCGCCAACACATACGGGACAATCACTTGCACGTTCCAATGAAGTGCGCGCTGGCCTGTGAACTAAGGGAGCGCAGTAACTAAGTAAAACATGCAACTAACTCCTGCACACATACACCGAGCAGCTCATTCACACACCATGCTGCAAAACCAGGTCCATACCGGCACACAATGACTATAAGCAATGTATACAATGACACATGCCCCACGCTGCTGGAGCCAGACACTATTGCAGATCAGCCTGACACTTGCACAAAAAGGAAACTGTTGCAAGTGATCCAAACCAGCCTGGAACTGTTGCAAATAAGCCTGACCCGCTGCAAGACGCTGCAATGAGCGGTCCAATCCACTGTTGCAAGAAAAAGAGCCAGATAAAGAGTCTGGCACTTGCAAAAAGAGACACTGTTGCAAAGTGATCCCTTTGCAAAATAAAAACAGTGACAGTCCTGCAACAATAAAAATCCAGACACTGGGGGGAAAAAAGACACTGTGGCAAGTGGTCTGACCCACTCTTGCAACAATAAAAAGCCAGACCCTGTTGCAAATGACCCTGGATTTAAAAAAAAAAAAAAGGCACTGTTGCAAATGATCTGACCCACTGTTGCAAAAAAAAAGCCAGACACTGTAGCAAAGTCTGACACTTGCAAACAAACAACAAAAAGGACCCAAAAAAAGCAGGCACTGTTGCAAATAAAAAAAGCTGACCCCTGTTGCAAAGTATACTGCTATGTTTGCAAGAACTAAGGTCCCCCCCCAGGGGCAGGGTGACTCCAGGACCAGGAATTCCAGCACTTTTTTTTCTGGACACCAGTCAGCCACAACTCGTCCACAGACACATGACAAGCCAACTTCACTCCTGCAGGCAAACTCCAAGTGTCAGCACTCCGCTGCCAATGTCAAGAGTGCTGAGTGCATTGCATGCGTGCCCCCTTTCCCTCCCCCACCCCGTCCAGCACCCGGAGCCTGGCAATGCCCCTGAGCTGCACAGTCACCACTAGGCAGCACCAAAGTGTGACAGCGGCGGCGGCAGCGGCGCTCCAGGGTCCCCCCTCCCCATGGCACACTGCGGGCCACGTGTGTGCCAGCTCCCCGTGCCTGTGCAATGCGGGCTACTTACCTGGGTGAGACAGAGAGGGGAGTACATGGTGCCGATGTGGTGTGGCCGGGAGAAGAAGAGGCAGACACGGGCGGAGGGAGCAGAAGGGATCACGGCTGCTTCTTCTTCTTCTTCACAGGGGTAGTAATATATAACTGATCACAGGTAGTACGGTATAACTGATCCGAGGGGTAGTAATATATAACTGATCAGAGGGGTAGTATGGTATAACTGATCTGAGGGGTAGTAATATATAACTGATCACAGGGGTAGTAATATATAACTGATCACAGGTAGTACGGTATAACTGATCCGAGGGGTAGTAATATATAACTGATCAGAGGGGTAGTATGGTATAACTGATCTGAGGGGTAGTAATATATAACTGATCACAGGGGTAGTATGATATAACTGATCAGAGGGGTAGTATGGTATAACTGATCCGAGGGGTAGTATGGTATAACAGATCCGAGGGGTAGTATGGTATAACTGATCCGAGGGGTAGTATGGTATAACAGATCCGAGGGGTAGTATGGTATAGCTGATCCGAGGGGTAGTATGGTATAACTGATCCGAGGGGTAGTATGGTATAACTGATCACAGGGGTAGTATGGTATAACTGATCACAGGGGTAGTAATATATAACTGATCAGAGGGGTAGTAATATATAACTGGTTACAGGGGTAGTATGGTATAACTGGTTACAGGGGTAGTATGGTATAACTGATCAGGGGGGGTAGTATGGTATAACTGATCACAGGGGTAGTATGGTATAACTGATCAGGGGGGGTAGTATGGTATAACTGATCACAGGGGTAGTATGGTATAACTGATCAGGGGGGGTAGTATGGTATAACTGTTCACAGGGGTAGTATGATATAACTGATCAGAGGGGTAGTATGATATAACTGATCACAGGGGTAGTATGGTTTAACTGATCACAGGGGTAGTATGGTATAACTGATCAGAGGGGTAGTATGGTATAACTGATCACAGGGGTAGTATGGTATAACTGATCACATGGGTAGTATGGTTTAACTGATCACAGGGGTAGTATGGTATAACTGATCACAGGGGTAGTATGGTTTAACTGATGACAGGGGTAGTATGGTATAACTGAGTGGTTGTAAGGTCACTTTGATGAGTGGGCATAGGAATGCTATATTTATATCTATCTATCTATCTATCTATCTATCTATCTATCTATCTATCTATCTACACATTGTATATATATTGTATATCATTTCTATGGCCACCCTATTGAAATGCTCATACTGCCCCTCTGCTGAGTGACTGATGGCGGCTCTGGGTTGGCACTGATGTATTGTGTATACTGCAAAGAAAAAACTAACGCCGCGGTGTCTGGCGCAAATCTGAATTTTTCTGACAAGACAGTCAAGCATGCGGTTTGCAGAGCGTTGGATGGTCCCCGCAACCGTTTTTTGGCACCTATGGACACTCCTTCGCTTCCCATACAAAAACCAATTAACGCAAGCGTTAGATAAATCGCACCGTAAAGTCGGCTGGATAGCGTACAGTTTGCATGCGAGTAAGATTCACTTGTTTATTTTTGTATATTGTTATAGAATCCAAAATTAGAATTGAAGGGAAATTAGTTAAAAAGTGTTTGTTTTTTTGGCATTGGGAGGTGATATATTAAAAAGTGAACATTGTTGTTTTATAGGTAGTCAGTCTGTTAAAGTCTGCGACTTGCGATTTATTATCCCAGAAAGACGCGGTTTATGGCTCAGAGAGGCCGGCGTAACTTTTGCGCAGGCCCAGCAAAACCGCGTTCCCTCCAAACACCCAATCGGATTTTTTTTTTTTTTTTATTACATTTAAAAATTGATTGAGCCTCACAGGCAAACGTGACTTTGCTGACCGGGCAAACTACTACACTTTCTACTTAACTCTTCCCCGTGGTCACGTAAAAAAAAAAATCATCCAAAATCGAAATAATGGGAATAATTGACGAAACGGCGTTTTTCCAGTTCAGCAAACTGAATCAACTTAAAGGAGAACTATGAGGTGAGTGATTTTCTCTCACCTCCTAGTTCTAGCCGACCTGTGACCATGAGACTGTCACAGGTCGGCTCAGTAGATCGGGAGGTGAGCGAACACATACCGGCGTTCGCTCACCTCTCGATCCTGTCACGGCTCTCTGCCGTGACAGGGGAGGGGCTGGATTCCCCCCGCTCCGATCCGCCAGCGCTGACTGGCGGAACGGACGGGGGAGGGGGCGGGTACAGCTGGCTCTGCCTCTAGATAGGCAGAGCCAGCTGTCAGTCACGCAGCTGGGCGGATCCAGACATAATTGTCGGGATCCGCTTCAGCTGCGGCGTCTTAGTATACCGCGAGCTACAGCTCCCTATATACTGAGCCTAGGGTGACGGGAGGACGCTAGTTTGTGTCCTCCCGTTACCCTAAGGAGAACTATGGGGAAAAGCCTTAACCCCATAGTTCTCCTTTAAGTGGAACATTAAAAAAAATAGAGAGAGAGAGACTCCTAACGTGATTGGACAGCCAAAGCCAACGCTGATTCGATGTTGTTGGCCTAACACTCACCTCCTGTAGTAATTTACCCCTGCTCATAAGCCGGGGGGCCTTCAGCTGTCAGGGTGTGCTGGGACTTGCGGTTCCACAGCAGCCTAAACAGCTGGCCTGCCTTAGACGACTGCAAAAAAAAAAAAGGCAAAGATTCAGTTTACGTAGTGATGTTATAATCTAGCACCGGCTTCCTGTATCACGAGATATCTTCTGCAGCTTCTATCTATTTACAGCTCAATATTGAAACC